CTGCAGCAGAAAGCATAATGCATAATTTACCAAGTGGACAAAAGGTAGCTTAAGTGAATTAACTTTAAATAATTGGCACAGATTGGCTAGTAGCTAGGAAGTGGGCTTTTAAAGAGAAATACCCAAGGTTGAAAGCGTTTAAAACAAAAATCGATTGCAGATAATGAAAAGCGGGGGTTTGCCCTCTTCGTGTCTACTCTCCTTCGAAAGAATTGTATCCAAAAAGCTGGTTTCCCGTTCCCCTACCTTGCCCCCGCTGTTAAAATAGAAACAAGGATTGTATGTTCTGATCCTGAATACATGTAAAATTTGTACAAAAATATCTTCTATGAAAATGATTTGTAATCTGTAGACTTAATACCTGGGAGATGTCTTGAGATGTAAAATCCCATCCTTTGGGTTGCGGGTTTTTTGTTTTCTCCAAATAAATCTGATCTTTAAAGTTCATTTTAATACTGAAATTCTTTGACACACACTCTGGTTCCAGTGCTTTTTATTGGACTCCCAGTTGACAGCCTGCCCCTCCTTCCCCCACCATCTCTGACATTCTCATTCAGCATTGGATACCACGTTGTACAAGATCAGAGGATGGGGATACAAAGGAATCTTTTAGAGACCAGGTCTTTGTCACCCAACCTGGAGTGATCATAGTTCGCTGCAGCTTTGAACTCCAGGCTCAAAGGATTCTCCCTGCCTCAGTCTCCCAAGTCATTGGGATTACAGACCACTCCTGACTTAAGGGATCTATTTCAGTGCTACTGAGGTCCAAGAACTGGGAGTTTACAGCCTAGCTCCTCTTCCAGCATTTTTTGCCTGGTGTTGACTTCTATGACTGCAGTCCATTTCCTGTATATTTTAATCATAAGATGTGGGAACTCCAAATAAATCCTCGCATCCTCAGGGGCAGTGCCTCCATAAATCCCCAACCTCATCTCACTTAAGCAATCCAGAGAGGCGCTGCTCTCCAGAGTCACACTGGTGGGCAGGAGATCTTGGTGGCAGGCTGGTCTGGGTAGCCACAATGAAGGCAATTTTTTCTTAATCATATGTCAGACCTAGTGGGAATTTTCCAAACAGCTAGGGACAGACTGGTCATTGTTGCAAGACAGGAAAGGGGTTAGGACAGTGGCAAAGAATCCCTAAGGTCACAAGGGGGTGGAGCATTAAAAGGAGCCCAGGAAACCTCAGTCAACAATTTGGTGGACTTAAGAGCCAAGAGGAAGGGAGTGGGATGTAGATGGGAGCAGTTACACAGTGGCTTTCCCAAGCCGATTAGAGCATTGCTCTTCCAGTTTCCTGGTGCATTTAACTCTGTTCTCCAAAATTGGCTAAGTTGAAGGGTAGAGGCGCAGTGAGCTGACAATGTGAAAATCCTGTAAGTGTGGCATGTGGTGCCCCTGCTGCCCAGGCTGCCTGTGGAATCTACAAGGCAATGTTTTCTGAGGCTCCACCGCAGGAATTGGTCCCAGTCACATTCTCCAAGCCTTAGTTTCAAGTCACCCCCCTAGCTGTGCAATATGGAGGTCTGGGTAAATGATCGAAAGAAGGAAGCTAAAAGTAGGAAAGGCTTGTTGAAAGAGGTTTATGTTGGTTGTGCACAGAAAGAATAGGGAGGAAGGAACTCCCTGTACTATGTCCGAAAAGGGCACTCTAAAATCAAAGCCTGGGCTTCGGTATGGCCACATCCTCAGTTATAAATATCTGTGGACCCTCCCAGAAGCCCAGCTGCAGAAATGGGCTCAGGACTAGTCAGCATTCATTGCCAACCTGTGCAAATCTTGAGCTACCAGAAAAGTAGGGGAGAAGTGTAGGTGCAGTATCCTATTTCACAAGGGCTGACTTTAGTTGGGCCCCATGTGTATTCTAGTCCACATAGCCTAGTTTCTCCTCGCAGAATCAAGCACTATGCTCTGGATCCCAAAGCAATGAGGGTCCCAGTCCATGCTGAGGGCGTCACCTCAAGTGCTACTCAAGCTCAAAGCATCTGGTTTCTCAGGAAGTGAGAGAGCTACACATCTGCTCCTGGGAAGCATTATTTGTCAAGTAAGCCTCGTTTCTTGGCAACCATGGTAGCCCCCAGGGCCACAAGTGAGGGGGACTTGCCTTCCCTCACTCTGCTGCCTCCCCAAAAAGAAGTTTGGAAGAGGCAGAGCTGTGCTGCTCTCCGCCCAGCTGCAGCAACCTCCCAGTTGGACAATACACCCTCTGTCCTTGGCCAGGAGATCCGCCTCTGGAGTTGGCTCTGCCCCTTCCCCCGCTCTTCCTGGTTCCCAGCACCCAAGCCCGCCACCACTGAAGTTCTCCTGACACAGTGGTCTTTCAGCCAGGACAGTCCCACACCCTCAAATCCCCCTCCTACAGTCCCCTCACCCCACGGATCTGAGCATACTCATTTACAGGCATGGGGTCACCCCAGACCATGGAAGATGGGGTTCCACCTTCAGTGCCAAGATGGGCCACCCTCTGCATAGTCAAGGTAAGAAAACCTGCATGGAGGGAGTCAGAGTGTTCCTGAAATTCTGTTTCACCCTCATTAGCATCAACCCTCTCCTCCCCTCCCCTCTCCCCTCTGATCCTCCTGCTGCTCTGAGCCGGAAAGCAGGATACCGGGCTGGCTCCACGATCCACCCATTTTTATTTCACCCCCACCAAGCTGCCTTCACTCTTCACTCTCAACCTTTCTCATCAGCTTCCTTCCTGCAGCCTCATTCCCCTTGATCCCCCTCAGGGATCAAGCGTGAGCTGGGAGTTCAGCTGCCCATCTTGTGGCCCTTCTCCAATTCCTTGGAACCTCAAAGTTCCTCTCATGGGCCTGCCAGGCAGGACAGCAGTACTAGCATGAGTGTGAGGTTTAGCCCTACCCACCTCTCTGGGATCCAATGAAGTTCCTCTTGGAGGAACTCTCCTGTTGGAGAGTCCCAGTCTCTCCATTGGTACCTTTAGAGATAAGAACCTACCCCATGGCATGCCCCGCCAAAGACCCACATGAACGCTGGGAAGGGCAAGATGTTAAAAGAGCTAGCTGAAGGCTCCAAAGAAATGAAAAAAATCTCCATATTTCATATATCTTGATTACATAATTAAATCTTGCCAAAATACATGGGAAGATCTTCAGCCCTGCCCTTTCCCCAGTAGCCTCCAATCTCCACTGCTCTCCTCAGTATTCCACTAACTCCTGCCTCTCCCCTCCCAGCAGTGACCCCTCCCCATTCCCTCCTGGGCTCCTCCTATCCCCAGTCCTTCCTCCAGACCCCAGTGACTCCTACTGCTGTAACCTTTGAAACTGCATGTCTGACACCAACTCAGCCCAGAGCAGTAAGAAAGATCAAGGCTTCCCAGTAACAACCACATCCACCCCTCCCAAATGCCAGTCTCTGGGGTACTCGCATTGTCACCATGCACTGCTTCACAGCCTCTCCCGTGCCTTCAGATTGGAATCAGGTGTTCCACCCCCTGGTAATCAGAACCAGACTTCCAGGCCTTGCCAAAGACAAGATGAACACAGAAAGAACCCAGCTGAGAGATGAGACGGGGAGGGACGGAGGGCCTTAAGAGCCCGTGGTACTGGCTGCTTTGGGCAGGCACTGGGCATTGAGCCCTGGGCACTGGCTTCTCAGAACTCCCCCCATCCCCCCCCCAGTTTTCATCATGGAAAATCTAGTGGGGAG